AATACCAATATGTATACTCTGATTACATATTGGAATAATCCACAACAGATACTATTGATCGTCAACGATTTTACATTACGGGATAGCGTAGTTGACATAACTAATTCTATTATCTATGTTTTTTTTAAAATAAAAACAATGATTAATAGGAACAAAACATTTGCTTACAAAGAAACCTTCTCAGGCACTAAGAAGCTGTTGAACTCAAAATCTTCTCATAGGTTGGGATTCCAGATCTTCGCCATTTCAAATAAATATAAGTACAATTTTTATATTTACAAAGTAAAGAATAAAAATAGATTTCTTTCTATAGTAGATAATTAGACAAATCCCTAGTATAACAACGGAATCGATTAATCAATAATCGTGCATAGTATCAGCTCCACATTGTTATGTGATATTATGAAAAAATGAAGATGATACTTGAAAAATATATGAAAAAAACCCTTCCGGATATTTTATTTGTATTTATAGTAAATGAATTTTTTGTAGGATGAATCTGGGTCTGTATATGTAATGTTATAACAGAAGATACACGCACCCACACTTCTTTTTGTGTCTCTTTTTGCACAGACATACCTGGTGGCCCTGTTAATGATGGTTCTGTAGTTATTATTGTTGCTAACGGTTCTTTAGTTGTTGTTGTTGATGGTTCTGTGTCTATTGTTGTTGATGATTCTTTGGTTATTGTTGTTGTTGTTGTTAATGGTGCTGCAGTTGTTGTTATTGATGGTACTATAGTTGTTGCTATTGATGATTCTGTAGTTGTTTTTGTTGATAATTGTGTAGTTGTTGTTGATGATGATTCTATAGTTGTTTTGATTGATAATTCTGTTGCTGTTGTTGTTTTTGTTATTGAAGATTCTTTAGTTGTTGCCGTTGATAGTTTTGTAGTTATAGTCGCTGATGATGTTTTTGTAGTCCTTGTTGTTAACATCAATGTTATTGATTCTTTTTCTATTGTTGTCATCATTATTGTTGTTGAGTTTGTTTCAACAATGTTTTTCTTATTCGTGAGAATAATAGTTGTTGGAATAATAATTATCGCTATTACCACAATAGTAACTATGATCCACGTCAATTTACTTCGAATACATACACCTCTAAAATAAAAAAAGTGTTTTTCATCTGTTAAACCGCAGTATACACGTACAATCTGGTAGATTTCGTAGGTTGTATTTCACTTGTATCGTTACTACCTGGCTGAGGCTACAAAGTAAAGACAAAAAAGCCGAATTAGTTTTTGTTTTGTTTTTCGTAATAAACTATATCACAAACAGTTATTCTGTTGTTTATATCCATTTGTAAAGTCTTGTCAAAGTTTCACAGTGTTGAGAAAAGAAATCTAAAAGAATTCGGACAAAAATGATACAAGAAAAATTTCTATCTCATAGAATTTCTTTTTTTGCAAAATATAGGTACTTCGATATTAGATAAGAAATATCTGAAACAATAAAGAATATATCATACCTTTAAAAAAACATTTTTCGTATCGAAAATCTTTATTCTTATTTTATAAAGAATAAAAATAATATTTATTTCAAAATTAAAGATGAAGAAATAAAGTAAATCTTTATAAAATAAATATAAAGTTTTTCTTTATTTTCTTAGAGTAGCTCACGGAAAAGTATGATATTATATAGTAAACTATAATATGGAATAGCATTTTTCGTATATATCGTTTCTTGTGTGATCCTTTTGTTAATGATATGGTATATGAAAGTGAGGATGATGATAAGAAACAGCATTAATAAACGTTTCGTGTTGTTATACAGAATATTTGCATATGTATTTATTGCATGAAAAAATGTATTTTTATTCTCTATTTTAACTTAATTTTTGCAAATATAGATTATCTTTATCTTCATTTTATAAATATAAAGATTTACTTTATTTCTTTATCTTTATTCTTTATAAGATAAAGTAAAGATAAAGTGGCACCCCTAGTTAATAATGGAAACATATCGCTGTAATTATCGATCTTTCATAAACAAAAACAAAAATCAAAGAAAATGGCGATCAGTATAGAAACCTTCAAGGAAATATACGAGCATTTAAGTAAGAAGACCAGAGACGGTATTTGCTTTCTCTGTTTTTTCCTCACTGACAGGGATATGTGTGTCTACATATATATTAAAACTAAGAAAAAGCTTATATTTTTCTTTTTTTTACGTAATTCACAGCACTTTATATGCCAGTATTCAATTTATTTAGGGAAAGTGTTCTCTCTCATTTCTTTCTCCTGGCTCTCATGGCTTTATATGTGTCAAATCAACCAAATCGGAACATATTCCCTTTTCATTTGACATCGATCTTTTTTACAAAGATGTTTCTTTCGATTAAGTTCTTTTAGCATAAACATATTTAAAAAGGTGATCATTAGTACGAAATTACTGACAAAAAGTTAGTGTTTATGACTAATAGAAGGTTATATTTGTAGCGTGTGGATCTGGACGATGATCAAGAAAAGTACATTCACATTCATAATTATATCCTAATCCATTCATACTCTCACATAGACCCACAGTCTTATTCTACTTCAACATACAATATCTTGATTTGTGTCTTTAATGTAAACGTAAATTGTATCAAAAAATATCTTAAGGATGGAGTGAATGTGGAACGATCCAATACCCTTAAATAATGAAATAAAAATAAACAACAACGTTATTTTCTCTGATTACAGCTTGAACAAATAACACAGTTTTTAGATATTTCTACTATTATTTCTTTAGAAGATATCTGAAATTATGAACAATGGAAACAGCATGCAAGACAATATTTCACGTTTTCAGTGTCGGAAATTTTAGGACACAGTATATTCTTAGAAATCACACGAATCAATTCGAAATAGGTTTCTATTTGTATGACTCATCCGCATTTTTGATCGATTGAAATGCGAAACATTTATTGATAATGAAAAAACTTCAGAAAGAAATACGAATAACAGACGATCTGTTACACAAGTTGGAAGATCTTTTCGAATAAAATTTTGTTTGCTGAGTCGATTTTTGTGAAATCTGGATATTTGAAATTGTCATAGGCAATTCTTCTTCTTCTCTTTGAGTGTTTTGACATAAAGTAAATATCGCTGTTAAAGATGAGTGAGTGTATTGTTCGCATCTGTTTCGTAAAGAACTTTCATCAATTTCACATAGTCTTTCTAATTCAATTGCATTGTCTTTCATTCGTTGTGCAAATTGTAAGTATGGTTTCAAATCTTCTTCTGTAATATTATGATAGTTTTCTATGAAATAGTTGAAAATTTGTTTTCGTCGTTCGATCATACCAGTCGAATCGATCATTTCTAATCTTTGTCGAATTTGTTTATTCGTAACTACTCCCAATGAAAAATATCGAATAATTTTCGGTACTAATACTTTGGGATCGCATCTGCCATATATGCCAGATGATCCTCCACCATTCCAGCTATCGAAAGAAGGACAATATCCAGTATAACATCCTCTTTCAATGTACGAAATAGTCATGCCTAATGAAGATAAGTTGATAGAATTTCGAAGAAATAAATTTGGATTTTGACGGACTTCATCAAACATAGGAAATGGTGCATCATTGATATCATCAGAAATAGCAAACGGTAGAATATTCTGTTTAGTTTTAAAGTTTAAAATTTGTTCCAAGTATTTTCGATATGGTAATATTCCTTTTTCAAAGTAAAACTGTTGTTTGCGTTCAATTTGTTTTTGTTGATAATTTGAACCATCTAAATATCAAACAAAATTCAAAATACAACGAACACATATTTTTTTCATAATTACAAGTCTGAAAATATTGTTCATCTAGATCTTTTTCTATTTCGTGTATAATATCTTCTACTTTTTCTTTTTCTGAATTTATCAAGTTTCGTGATTCACATGTTCGTGTCATATCATCACAATGTGTATCTATATAGTTTTCTCTCGGCAACATAATTCGATGGGATACTTCTTGACGTAATGAAATCCCAGCAGGACTGACATATTGGAACTAAATTACAGAAATTTCAATGAAATAATTACAATATGTACTACATGTCCGAAAGATTATATACTCACTATTTCTAATAGTAATCTATCGAATACGAGATCAAATTGTTGTTTTGATCCAAACATTGGAAAACATAAGCGATTCACCAATGATTCTCGTAACCAATTAATCGGTTTACAGTTATCCAATTTGACTAGAATGATTGGTTTACCAGTTTGACTAGCATATTTTACTTGATTTTCACAACGTGTATCTTTACCATAATTTTCACTAATACAAATAATGATACAATCGGATTCGATCATTTGTAATAATATATCATTTTTTTCGTTAGAGTTGAGACAGATGCGAAAGCCTTCATCGATAAGACGATTTGCTAGAGAATGAACTGCAAGTGAATCCTCGTGACAATAACTTAATACGATATTATTATGATTTGAAGATCCAATTTCTGATAATCGATTTCTTTCTTTCACTAAAGCAGTTGTTAATTGATATTTTTCCTTTGCTTGATGAACACTTATGATTGAACCTTTCAAAACAACACGTCCATACTCGTCAATGTCTGGTAGAACGCATAGATCATTGCAGTATTTATAAAAGGCATTGATCAAGTCGTGATCCCAATGATCAAATCCATTCAATTCTATTTGTGTCATAGATCTTGATAGATGTTTTCTCAATTTCTCTTCGCATTTCATCAAATATTCCATTTTTGATGATGTTAATGTAATTGAAAAACCTTAAAGAGAATAGTAGAAAGAAATCTTTCATCGATCTTACTTGATATTGGATAATTGAGAGTTGCATAACTATTATTGTTTGTTTGTACAGTTGCAAGAGCAGTTAGAAATTGCTTATGTAATGTTCGCTGATCAGATAGGAAAATATGTAAAATTTTTAAATATTGACCTTTGAATGATTGAATAAGATGTACACTTTCAGAAATCATAGCTTCGGCTAATAGTTTTTCATTGGTGCATGAATCAAGAACTGCAAATGCAACTGAATGAGTTTCAATATTCGAATGTTGATTTGTCGTGATAATATATTCAATGACTTTTGACATGAATTGTTTTACAGATTCTCGTATATATTTCTCATTATCGATCGTTACCAATGTTGATAATGACCAATTGACAAAAAGAATCTTTTTACAAGGTAGTCGTCCAGCCGTTGTTTCAATAATAAATGGAATTGAGTTCTTTCCATGTTTGCTCGATCGTTGTTCGATAATGTTACCAGCTCGTTCGAGAAGATTGTCTTTCAATCCGTATGAAATCGATGGAATAACAATTGTATCGACCTGCAACACATACAAAATAAACAAAAATGAAAGATCATACATGTCAGATGATTGTGTCTAACCTTTTGCGATGCTATATCATCGATAAGAACTTCAATTGATCCGTTAGGTAAAGATATTGATTGATGAAACATCGGTGATGAACAAAATACATCGGAATATTCTTTAATATATTTTGGAATAGGATAAATTATCGATGAACTTTCGTTAGCTTTTGGTATGAAAGATGTTTGTAGTATTGTCTCAATTTGACCATCATAATGACAACGATTATTTGCTGCAATGATTTTCAAAATCACGCTTGTTCTTTCGGTAATATCAGAATAGAATGATATAGTTTTAAATGTATTTGTTGTGAAATGAGATAATAGAATTTGAATACGTGATTCAATTTCATCTTTCAATAATGGTGGTGCATAAAATGCATTCTGTCGAATATGAAATTGAACACGATCGGGTTGAAATTCTTTCTCGATTGCTTTCAATTCTGGCTGACAAACATTAAGAAGATAAGCAATCTATATAGTAAAGTAAGTATTTTTCTTATTATTGGACTTTTAATAAACAGAGAAAAGAAGACTTACTTCCGTTGAGGTCATCTCCTTCAGTTGATATTTAGTTAAACGATATTTATTGACTAAATCTTGAATTTGTTGCACTACATCATTGACCAATTTAAACTCACCAAATATCTGGATGTTGTACTGATTTTTGTCTGCCATCAAAATAAAAAATTTCCGAAAAGTTAACGATATCATGTTATTTTGTTGCTCATAGTATTTGATTAATTCCATCAAATCTTTTTGAAATTGTATGACGTACTTATTTTGACGTTTTGCTAACGATTTCTTTTCATATTCACTCAATATTATACAGTTACTATCATTGTTTTCAATATATTCATTATATTTCTTTAAATCGAATACGAATACTACTCGTCGAATATTACTATGAATAATTCGATCGATAACATCAATACATTTAAAAGAATTGAAATAATAGATTTCTAATACTGTAGTATATGTACGTTTTGCCTGACATACAGTAAAGAGATTATTCTCATTGTCCATTACAGCTTGTATGATACGAATTGCTTGTGGATTAAACAACCAAACATTTACTGAAAAAAAAGAGAATCAATGTTTGTGATATAGGTAGAAAATGTTTTAATAAATCATGACTATATCAATCACTAGTCTCAAACGTTGTTTCCTTATCGTTGAGGTGACTTTATACATTTCCTCAACGATCTCTATGAATACGATAGAATTAATTCCCTTATTTGAAAAGATGTTCTCATCATAGTTAAACTCAAGAATTAAATCAAAATTTTACCCTTATTTTGACGATATATTCTGCATTTAATATTTTCAAATAAATTTTCGATAACATTACATACAAGTTTGATTTCTTCTTGTAGTCCTGAGAATTGTATAGCAAAACTACATGATGATTGGTCATCTGTTGATGGTATCTTTTGTATTTCTATGGTGATGGAAATTGATACTTGTTGAATATAGTTAATTAAGTATGGAGAAAATTTTGAATTGCTGAAATATTGAACATGAATATGATCTTTAATCAAATATGTGCAATGATAAATGTCATCACCAGCTACAGAGGATGAACTTTTGACTTGTTCAACTATCAACGATAGCTTTTTCGGTCGATTTCTCTAGAAGAATGAAATAGAGAAGCAGTTGATTTATTTGAATAAATTGAAGTACTCACGATTTTCGAAATACTAAATTTTCTAGAGAAAGAATCATAACAAATCATCGATATAACAAAGTAACTAAGTGAATTACTTACTTAATTTTATTTTTATTTGCCATTCGTGTACACAATGTTTTCAATTCTGAGAGTTCATCTTGAAATCTGTGCACTGTTTGAATTGTCGGCTTTTTTCTCGTTCCATCTTCGTTTAATATTGTCAATATTTTTGATATATCCGTTTCACTCAATTCTATCAGTTTTGCACCATCGATGTTTAGATCTAAATTAAATAACCAAAGAAGAAGTAGATGAAAAGTAAATATAAATAGGATTTACTCTTAAATATAGTTATATACTTCTCGAAACCAATCACTTCCAACCATTGGCTAACTTGCTGTGTGCTCCAATGTGTCATCATTCACAAAATGATATCAGTGTGACTGAATTTTTTTATATTTAAATATTTCACATTAATCTAAAATTCATTTAATTGTGCAGTTCGTTAAAAAATGTTCTAGATAATTTTCCGTATTATAGATAAAGATTGGTATCGACTGTACAAAATTATACAGCTGTCTTAGTGTCCCATTCAAATCGAAAGGAAGAGAAGAGAAGAGGAACTGTTTTTCTTACTCACGTTTTTTGTCATCTGTTAGTGATATTTTTGCATTACGCATCGATTTTCTTTTTTTTCTGGTATGTTGAATTAAAAACATTGGTAATTAGGTTGCTCATCACTGCTTTCGTACGTACTTATTTCTCAACGGACAACCTTCGTCGCTAATAGGATTCGAAAATAATAATTTGAGTGCCTTCAAGCATTTCATATCTGAGTATAATATTGAAACGCCAAGCGCTAATAAGACGAGAAAAAAAACGTGGTTTTTCTTTCTTTCTTCACGTTGTCGTTGAAGGCTAAAATATACATAGAAAGAATGAATAAGCTCTATTATGATGAAAAAGTAGTTTTGAGTTTAAAGAATGAATAATCAAATTGTTATTTCTAGATTTCATCAGTATTGTGAAATATAACGACAAAAACAGTTAGTAAGCAGATGACTCATATAATTGATTCAATATTTTTCTCCAACATTGGTGTAATCTAATGCAGATAGGTGAATCAACCTGTAGAATAGAAAAATATTTCTCTCAAGTGACAGAGAAAAGAAAGAAAGAAAAGTATTTTTTTCGCTTATTTACGTGCGATATTGATATGATGCAGGTTAGAAAAAAAATGCGGTATCTAAAGCAAATTAACTCTGGACGGTAGACGTCAGTTCTTATCATTTAGCACAAAACACTACATTTGAGTAATTATAGAAATATTATAGCAGTGTCTAGTGGTATAGTCAAGAAGAATTTGAGTTTCGATATAAAGAAATTCTCGTTTTCTTGATCCAGGCTAATGAGAGAATACTTAGTCAGGAGAGAGAAAAATATTTTTCTTTGGTTGTTTTTAAGATATATGTGATAAGGAAATATAGTGTTTATCATCATCGTTTTATTTATTTCTTTGTTTAGTTCTTTCTTATTCATCACTAACTGTCTTCACAAAGATGGATAATGAAATCAACGTTGCCAGATCATCGGATGTCGATATCAATTTTTTTAAAAATCCATTATTCTGCTCAAAGCTACAGAGTTATTTATTTGATAATTACGCTGTTACCGCTCAAATATCATCACAAGGTGACATCGATAACGACATGGAGTTTCCTGTTGAATTCGTAGGTGATACGATAGATATCGAACATGCTCGTGATTTTATAAAAGAATTATTTCGAACGGTGAAAACTAAAGTTTACAATGATGAAACAAACGATGACAAAAGTAAGTAATATCTAGGAGATTCATACAAAACTCTGATAGTTTCAACAATCTTGTATTACTTTCCGGTTCATTCAGAATCTTGAGAAAATGCTGCATTCTTTTCATTTAGTAATTTCCTGGTCGAAAAATATTCATTCAGATGCAGCTATTATTGCAATTCAGAAAATTTTTGATAATCGAAATTTATTTACTGTATGGGAAAAGACACACATCATATCTGGTTATTATACTGTTCATTATTTCAGTTCTAATCCTATTTTCGAAATACAGGAATCATCCATTGATTTTGTATTAAATAATACAATTAGTTATGTAAAAAATATAATTGTCCAAAATTACGATACTATTCAAACAAATTTTCAAAACGACTTAGACAAATTTATCGATGAGAAAAAACTATTGCATCAGCGAGAACAAGTCTTTACGATTATTTATTATAAATGTACATTACGAAAAGAATTGAAAATTAGTTTTTTTGGAATAAATTATTTGGTCAAAAATGCAAAGAATGAATTAGAACAACTCTTGCAAAAACATCAGATGGAAATGATCAACATCAACCTTGATTCTAGACAGGTTAAATCTTCATACTGAAAGAACTAAATAGAGTGTTATAGTATATAAGGGTAAAAATTCATAGCAATGACCATCAGAGACATGATAGGCATAACAGCGTAATCCTCTCTTACTCTTAGTGGAACTGTATGACAATATTTTTTTTTGTTTCGTTCTAGTGTGAATATTTACTAGCCGATTGTGTTGATGAAATAAAAAAAATTGAATTTGAACATCGAGATGATAATGTCAAAATTCAAATACGTGAAAATGTCATTTACGCTCCAAAATATTTAACGCAAAAAATCCAACAGCTAATTAAATCTTTAATTGTTGCGACAACAAGTATTACTTTTCGATGTATTGGAAATTCGTGTTTATTTAATACCAAGAAACAATTAGAATTAGAACACGTCGCTCGAAAAACTAACTGTCAAATCGATCGGATTGGTATACAAACGGAAAATGAACTTCTTAAATTACCTAAAGCAAGAACAACACTTACGATTCAATCAACATCAAAATATATTATAGAAGAATCCAATCGATTTCTTAGTACATTAACAATGGTTAAAAAACTGCCAATATCAAATGGTGCAATTGAGATTTGTCAAGGACAAATTTCATTAGTACCAGCGGTTAGTTCATGTCAAGAAAAAAATATTTTATTTTCTATTTCTGATTCTTATTGTTCTAGGCAGATGTTACTATTATCGCTGTTTCTGCAATGAACAACGAAAATTTCTATCTTGACATTGACTTAGACAAAAATATTCTCTTTATTCCATGGATAGAACCTTCAACAACGATTGAAAGTGATCTGATGAATGTCCATCTTGAACAATCAATAAAAACGTTTGTTTCTCTATCATTGGCTAAAATCTTAACAGTTTACTCAAATGACGCAAGAAGAATTACGATTTCGACATCAAAATGGGAAAATTATTCAAATAAAAAACAATTAGCTGAAGTATTTATTCATGAACTAAAACAACAAATGGAATTAGAGCACTATTGCCATTGTCAATGGACAATTTTATTTGTATTTAATGATCAACAATTCGATCTTTATGATCTCTTTTCACAAGTTATACTATCCATGCAAAATGAAAGTCCTCAATACGATCAATTCTATTATCCCATATCAAGTACGTATTTACTCTTGAGAGTGTGGGTGTCTATTTTCTCCTAACCGATACCCACTTACACCCTCAAGATGTTTCATTTTTCGTTTTTTTCTCTAACTAGCGATTACGATTCATTTGGAAACATCACGAAAGGAAAATGTTATCAAATATCGAAATATTATCGATGATTATTTTCGAAAGCATATCATCTCAACCATTGAAATAAATAACGTTTTTGATCCACAAATCTGGAATCAACATATGATCAATGTTTACTATAAATATTCTCTCGATCAATGTGTTATTCCAATAATTTCTTCAGATAGCGAACGACAAAAATTGGAATTGACTGGATCAATAGTTAATATCAATAAATTGGAGGAAAAGTACGCATTAATGTCAAAAATTATGAAAGAGAAAACTTCAACAAATCAACAATCTATAATAACAAAACAATTCAGCTGGGATATTTCATTTGATCGATATGATATTCTAATAATGTGCTGTTTTGAAGATGAAAGTTTTTCAAATTGTCTTGCTACTCATCTAATAGATGATGGCTATTTAGTTTGTGTAAATCTTATCAGTCAACAATCACCAACTGACATTTCACAATTCGATAAAACAGATTTGATTCTTATTTATTTCAGTCAACATTCTTCGAAAAATGAAGATTTTATTGCACAGATCAAATTAGCAAAAATTTCTGAGAAGATCATCATATCGATTGTACCACAAAAAATTCGATTAGATCAAGAGAAGAATTGGCTTGAATATATGACTATCATAGATTTATATTACGAATTATTTCAACATGAAGTTCAATTTGAATTAGACGAAAAGTTCGACTTAGAGTACGATAAATTACTCGTTCAATTGGTAAGTTTCTATGAAAGTTAAGATTTAATTTTAATATGTTTTTAGCTCCAATATACGAAATCTGATCAAATTAATCAAACAAATTCAATTGCAAACAACGATTCAATCGAAGAACAACAAACATTCAATGAACAAAATCTACAATCATCAATAATTGATGAACAAAGAGATAAAACAAACGAAATCTATGAAAAACGCATTGAAACGATTAGAAATCGAGAAAAGATTCCAATTGATGAATTAACTCATTTGATAGAGAGTTTAACATTGGTAATAGACTATTGTACAAATTATAATTCACAGCTTGTGGAAACGATCGATAGGGGAAAAGAAGAAGAAGAGCAATACTACTATCAAACAAAAGTTCATCAACATAACGAAAGTGCCAATTTATTAGGTATTTCTGTTTGATGAAAATATCATTTATTGTATATTTTTGTTTAGTAGATGAAGTAGAAACTCAACATAATTTAAACGATTTTGCTCTATGTGCAAGACGTTGGATAGACAAGGCATCAGAAGGAATTGCAACAAAAGGTAGCATACCACCATTTTCCATCACAGGAGATATAAATGATGCTCTGTATTCAATATTTGTTGCCGATAAAATTCCATGGTGGACATTAGGTCCAAATTATCCAGATTTTGATCATTCACCACCGAACATTTATTTTCATAACTTACCAGTTATTTCCGATTCATGGTTTACTTATCAAGAAGTAGATGATTTCTTTCACACGCTAATTAATCGAGATATTCAATTTCATATTGAAACACGAAAACAACGTCGAATATTCGAAAAATTTGGACGAAAAACAAAACTTCTACACGATTCAACATTTACAACCGAACTGAAAGAAGGTGAAAGTGCATGGAATTTTACTCAAGATAAATTAGTTTTGAATGAATATAAAAGAATGCAAACTAGAAATAAAACAACAAAGTTATCGAAGAATCTTACTGCCTGGCAACGTCTAGTTCTAAAGACAGTGGAATTATCATCTGATATTGACAAAGGTAGAATTGATTTAAATTCAGATCTTATTCAAGGAAGAATCGGTGATGAATTAAAAACACAAGAAGAATTACAAAAACTCAATGAACTGGATGACCCAAAATATAGCCGTTGGACAATCAAAAAACCACGTCGGTGTACACACGAATTTCTTCAAACGAAAATACAAAATACAATTGAAGTTCGAAAATTATGCAACATGTCAGTGAATATTTTTCGTTCTAAAATAATTTAAATTTGATAGAGAATAAACAAACGGTTTATCAGAGCGTTGTATAATGTTCATGTGTGTGTTCAGTCTACGCAACTATAAGATAAAATGATTATTTTCAGATATTAGTCTTTTTAGTATCATATTTTAGATTTTAAAGATTCTGTATTTTACATAATGGATTCATTATTGAAGCAGCATGTATCTTTTGTTCAACGATTACGCACATCTCATACGAATGTGAGTATAGTAGAAGTTATTCAAATGCTCGATGACATTGTTCAATTTCTAAATACAACACCAAATCAAACGAATGGTTTGCATGTACTTACTATCATTTGTCATGACTTCGCATCGATTAATGTCTTGAAATTATTTGATAATAAGACAATAATGCAACATCAGTTTTTTCTTCTTATTCAACGCACATTGGAAATGTTTCTAACGAAAGCAACATTTATTACAATGACTAAGGAGGATGAACAATGTTGGTATGAAATAAGTCATCTAGTTGTTCAATTATGCTTATTCAATAATCATCAATTATTTTCCTCTTCTGATGAAAATTCGATTAATCAAATTTCTTACGAGAATATATTTTTAACAAAATCATTTTTTGAGAGGTTTACTCGAATTATTCTATCGGATTTAATCCTCAATGATTATCAACCTTATCATATTAAATACAAAGTTCTTAATCACCTACTTTATCTTTCTACAGAAGTACTGAATATAAATCATCATTTATTATATGATTCTATTGTTCAATGTTTATCCTCACATTTATATTTGAATGTCTTCGAAACAATTGACTTTCAACAATCAAGAATTAATCCAAAACAATATTTTTTGCTTTACCAATGTCCACAGTTTATACAAGTGCATAGTCATCAGCACCTGAATGAAATATCTAATTCATCATGTCAATTATTATTGGAAAACACCAGTAAAATTTTTCAACAACATTTACTACTGTTTTCCCTAGAAGATAAAGTTGAAAATCGTCAAGGAAAAGTACAGGCAATTAGTTGGCATATAGAATTATTGAATCATTTAGCTTTGACACCTACAACAAGAAAATATTTTAGTCAAGGTATGTATTAAATAACTCTTTTTTGTATCAGAAATCAACTAAAAAGATTGAGTTTAGTATTCGATAATTTATATATTCGGTGACTAAAGCACTCAATATTTCTCTTATAATAATCAGTATCTAAAAGAAGATTATGAAATCATATTTTCTGCTTCAGATATGTATCAAACAATCGTGGATCAATTGATCAATGTGTTACGTACTGAATGTTTAATTGAGAGACTTCAAAACAAAAAAAAATTATATCATGCCAATGTTATGCTGATATCATCTGCAATCACTTTAGTGTACAGTTTAATGTTCGAAGAAGAAATCTTCCGTCTACTGAAAAACAATGGCATTTCGAAATTTTGTATAAAATTACATAAAGTAGAAAATAGAAGAATACAATTTGCATCACAAACACTATCTACAATTTTGAATCAAGAAGATATTGATCAAATCAATGATCCAATCAAAATGGCAGAGAATTATTTATTTTACCTTGGAAATTCAATAGATAAACCGTCACAAATATACAATGGAATAAAATTAGAAAATATTTTGGCCAATCTTCAAAGTATGTGTTTTTACTATAAATAATTCATTTAACATGTGCTCATATAAAAGAGGAGTATTTGATGAATAAGATCAGTTTATTTCGTTGAAGCAATAATATTCTTTCTTATTTTTCTAGTCATTGTTCAAAACGATTTAATTAAAGCAAGAATTGGTAGTGATCAGAATGGTTTATCATTATTGATTAGATGTGTATTAGATCAAAGCATGGACTTGGAGACTATTCAATATCCAGCATTGCATATTCTCGATGTATTATCATTTGAAAATAAGAGTATGTGTCAGAAAATAAACAAGAACGAGAAATTGATGAATTGGATTAAACATCTATCTGATATGGACGAGTCAATATTAAGATCAACAGCAAATCGTATTCGATGGAAAGTAAAAGATGAAGAGAAATTTATTTTAAAACAAATAGAGACACAAGATGCAACATCGATAAAAGGTTTCGATGATACTCAATCGACTTGTGAATACATGAACTTAAATTATCATTGGGACTTATTTGATAAGAAAACATCGAACATGTTTTATTTACTGATTAGTTACCATCCTAGAGATATAGAGATCTGTAGACAGATATCTCATTATTTATCTGTCTCGAATTTCCATCAAGTTTTGTTCGATACTGAACATATACAGGGAATGTTACCTGAAGTAATGGCTGAAGCAATTGAAAAGTCATCGATAGTTCTAATATGTTTCTCAAATCAGTATCAACAATCATGTCTGTGTCGATTAGAAGCTGAATATGCTCAAAAACGAAAACGAACGATTATTCCAGTGAACTTAGACGAATTCTATCACCCAACTGGTTGGCTAAAAAATATAATCGCTGATAAATTGTGTATCGAATTCAATGCATCAAATTTTAGCAACGCCTGTGCTAGTCTAATTGGACAAATCAATAATTTGAAAGAAAAATCGATATGAGATTGACTCATTTTTGTTGAAAATTTGTTTCATGTGACTTATATTCGCGGACAATACTGATATAGTGGATGTAAAAATTTTGACAGTCAAAATAGAATCAATTCGACTCATCCGATGTTTTTGAGAGTATGAACAAGAGCCGATGAGTATTGATGGATAAAAGAAAATAAAACATTTACATCTCTATACTTGAGGGTGCTTGGGTGTGGGTGAAAGGTCAAAAAAAACAATGGAAACCAATTTTCCGTAAAAGACATTTCTAGAGGTATTTCGATGTCGGGACTTTGAATCTGAGCTCTGTCGGTGACCATGGTTAGGGGTGGATGGGTGAAGAGGGGTCAAAGGTCAAAAAAAACATCGAAAATCAATTTTTCACGTTTTTTATTTGTTTTTCCAGTAAATGTGAAGAAAATGGATTTCTACGAGAAAGAGCTAAGCGGGTCCTCGGACGAGCGTTACTTGTGTATATTATACTCAAATTTTGAAAGAATATTTTTCTTCGATAAAAAATATTAGAAGATAGAAAAGACGTATTGCCAACTTAGTTTTTCTAATATAATCATGGACATGCTGTTTTTTATTCACAAAACAAGTTAACTTACGTAAGTAAAGTTAGCAGCAGATTCGAGTATTCCTTGCTGACATTCGCCTAGGGACTTGGGCTATGTCTAAGATATCTTGGGCTGGATAGAGAATTTAATTCTGCATCGAATGGTGTATTTTGATTTGGG